AAAAATAGACTAAACAGATTCTACCAAGAGAATTAGCCAAGAACTTAGCACAAAATCAAAAAGTGAGTTATCAGAGGACATGGATACTATTAAATCCCATTATTAAAAGGGAAGGCAAAGATCCAAGCAACACAAAAAGATAAATAAATAGTGTAGAGGTGGCAGCACACACCTTCAATCCCAGCACTCAGGAAACAAAGGCAGGATGATCTCTGTGAGTTCAAGGTCAGCCTGGTGTACATATTGAGCTCCAAGACAGCCCAGGATCCATAGTAAGACCCTGTCTCAAGAGATCAGATAAATAAATAGTGCCTTCACACACTAGAGATGACTAGGCATAGCTTCCAGATGTTCCAGTTGGCATCTCCATTTCAGGACTTTTTCTTTTTTTTAAAAGATTATTTATTTTTATTTTATGTGCACTGGTATTTTGCCTGCATGTATGTCAGTGTATGGAGGTGTTAAATCCTGTGGAACTGGAGTTACAGACAGTTGTGTGCAGCCATGTGGATGCTGGAAATTGAACCCAGTTCCTCTGAAAGAGCAGCCAGTGTTCTCTCAACTGCTGAGCCATCTCTCCAGCCCCTTAGGACTTTTTCTTAAACCAGGTTTACATGGAACTAGTGACAATGAATTACTGTTTGTTATTTGAAGTAAATTTTGTTTGGAAAAAAAAAACAGTGTAAGCTCTAAACAAACTGTTCAGGTTGAAGAAAGGAAAAGGAAATGAAGTTTGGAAAGAGGAAAACTCACTCTTGACCCAACACTAGAAATGCCAGTCTTCTGTCCTCTGGCATACACAACCTGCTGAAGTCCCATTATGTTATGTCAATTTTGTCTGTGGAACTAGCTGCCTCTTGCATAGGAAAGAAAGTAAGATTATGAACCCAGCTGTATTCGATGCAGAGATGAGGGTGATAAAAGCAAGAAACTGGATCATGTACTGAAAAGGCAAAACTCCATGCAGCTTAGAAGGAACACTTTTCTAAAGGACCACCCCCATACATGTCAAACAGATAAATAAATCATTCCATGGGGGGGGGGGAACCTTACTCTTAACAAACCCGTGTTAAGGTTTGTTCTTGTGAGTTTTGTTTGTTTTGTTTTAAGATTTATTTATTTATTAGATACAGAGTGTTCTGCCTGCATGTATGTCTGTATGCCAGGAGAGGGCACCAGATCTCATTATAGATGGCCGTGAGCCAGCATGTGGTTGCTGGGAATTGAACTCAGGACCGCTGGAAAAGCAAACACTGCTCTTAATCTCTGAGCCATCTCTCCACCACAAGGTATGTTCTTGTTATAGGGCTTGTTGGCAGATGCCCATAAGACTAACACTTGGGAAGCAGAAGCAGGAGGATCGGAAGTTCAATGCTAGCCTCAGCTACATAATGAGTTCAAGACCAGCCTGGGATAGATGTGACCTGTCTCAAAACACACGCATAAAAAATTTAATTAAGGGCTGGAGAGATGGCTCAGAGGTTAAGAGCACTGACTGCTCTTTCAGAGGACCTGAGTTCAATTCCCAGCAACCACATGGTGGCTCACAACCATCTATCATGAGATCTGGTGCCCTCTTCTGGTGTGCAGATATACATGGAAGCAGAATGTTGTATACATAATAAATAAAATCTTTTAAAAAAATAATTAAATTAAAATAAAACCCACCAAAAAATTAAAAATAAGCCCATTGTATAATCTGAATCTGTTAATAGTAATGGTTTTATTTCTGAAGCAAATTAAGCTAGAAATACATTCTTGTGCTGTGGCACAGAGCCCTGGCCCAGGGATTTTTCTAATCATTCAAAAGCATCTCTTTCCACAGCTTTGCTAGATGATAACTTTATTAAAACCTTTCCATGAGGAAACTGATGAACTAATCAAACCAAAACTGAACTTGTTTGAATGTATGTAATGGGAAGAAATAAAACACAAATACTATAAAGATTCAGGCCCTGCAGATCTACAAGTCCTCCTTAGTCTGCATGAGGTCACAACTGCAGAAGGCAGATAAAGCAAAGGATGTGGGGAAAAGGAGGTGGGAATGTCTTCATCCGTAAGCCCTAATGTTACAGGAAGCATCTGCTCTGAGAACAATTGGCAGCCTCTGACTAGAGAGTAAGACTCTCCTTCAAAGAGGGAGAGTACCTCTAGCAATGCGAGATTTCAATGGCCTGATTAATCAACAAAAGCAAGAAGCGTGGGGTGGGGAGAGCAGCATTTTCCCACTTTCCTTTTTAAAGAGCCATTCTGGTCTAGGGTCTTCCAGTCTAAGCTTGAACATATGGGGGATGCTCCTCAAAAAAAATAATAATAATAATCAAAGCCAAGCCATAATATAAATCCCTGGTGCAGTTGCTATTTGTTATAGAGGAGAAAGTGATTAAAGTGTAGGAAAGAGCAGAATTCTAAAATAAGAGCGGGGGCCTGGAGAGATAGCTCAGCAGGTAAGAGAACTGGCTGCTCTCCCAGAGGACCTGGGTCCACCTCCGACCCACGAATTACCGGAGCCCCGCTGGCCAGGGCACCACATGGTGGTTTACACCTGTTTGTAGCCCCAGTTCCAAGCCGGGCGTTGGTGGCACACGCCTTTAATCCCAGCACTTGGGAGGCAGAGGCAGGTGGATCTCTGTGAGTTCGAGGCCAGCCTGGTCTCCAGAGCGAGTGTTAGGATAGGCTCCAAAAGCTACACAGAGAAACCCTGTCTCGAAAAAAACAAAACAACAACAACAAAAAAGAAGAAGCAGAAGAAGCAGAAGAAGCAGAAGAAGCTATAGCACCAGTTCCAGGAGATCTGATGCCCCCTTCTGGCCCCCTCAGGCACTGCATGCACATGGTACACACAAAAACATGCAGGCAAACACTCATTCACAAAATAAAATACAATTAAGTCTCAAAAAATGAAATGAGTGTTGTAATTAAAAAAAAAAAAAAGCAGCTCCAGAGAGAAAGACACCATGCAGCAGAGATCAAGTGATGAGGTTTTTTTTATTAGGGGAAAAGGATCATAAAAGGAGAAAGGGGAGTGGGGAGACCAACCTCCGGGGACAGGAGCAGCAGGAGAGAGGAAAGTGAGGCAGAGTAAGAGAGAAAGGAACAGACATAGAGAGGGAGAGAGAGAGAGGGATGGGAGGTGGGCAGGGACCTTTTCAAAGGAAACAGTGAATAGGCACAGGTGGCGCTCTTGGTGGCAGCAGCTGAGGGTGTATTCTGTCAGAACTCCAAAGGCAGGCCAGTACAGATGCCTGAATACTAACAAACAGTGTGTAAATGTCCAAGCAAAGCTCAAATATTTATCAGAATCATTCATGTTCTTCTGGTCCTGTACATTCCAGGGAAACAGCCATCAAAATCATAAATTCTTGATGAATAAATAATGAAGATAAAACTGCTTAAGAATTATCTCCTTTGATTTGATACATGTTCCAAGGTTTCTTTGACTACTACCATAACAAAGGTTTGTTCATTTTCAGAAATGATAAATCCAATAATAGAAATTCAGGTCTGTCCCCATGTATGAAAGGCCTTGATTTCTATGCCTGCTTCTTTAGGGCTATTACTGCTAACACCAGCTGCTATTGTATAACTAATGTGTGGTAGGACTACATACTAAAAGATTTTAATTTGCATTATCTCTGTGGCGCTGATGAGGAATCTGATGCTCAGAACAGTTAAGTGACCTGTTTAGTATCATAGCAGTTCTAAGAGCCAATGTCATCAGTGAGCTCCAGGTCTGTGATTGACCGTTTCTCAAACACAAGGTGGATAGCTCCTGAGCAATGACTCATGGGTTGTTCATGAACACATGTGAACACTCACACACACACTCACACACACACACACACACACACACACACACACACACCAGCCTAGCCCCAGCACATATAACCCTCTTCGGAATTCCCAGCTTAAATTTCCCTATACAGCCAGTCAACCTCCTATAGAGAAAATCACAGATAGGCATAAATTTTAATCTCATTTGATGGCGTCTTTTGTTTTCTATACTACTGGTAAAGGATACATTTTTATAGAAAGAACTACTGTGGAATCCCATCCACCCTGCATTATGAACCCTCACAGGATTTAAAAATAATTAAATAAATAACTGAACAATAGAAGAACTTACACCTGTTTCCAGTATACATACACTTTAGTTAACAGTGTTTATATTTGGATGCCAGAGCAGGGCTTATTAGAGTTTATTACCTTTACTGACAACACTTACTAAGTTTTACTCACTGGGCACAGTGCTTTTGTATCCAGAAAAAAACATATCATTTTAATGAAAAATATATTTTGTATATTAATGAATAAACCCTAGATTTAATTTTCCCTTAACACTGGGAAAAAAAAAAAAAAAAGGACACTCCTGGGCCCAATATAATCTGAAACCAAACAAAAGACATTGGTTCTTTTTATAAATAGCTAATCCTTTTCCCATGGCCACCTTCCCCTTCCCACACACTCACATCACTTTTAAGTTATGGGTTTTTTTTTTTTTTTGCTCAATAAAACTGGGCCTACTATTCCACAAATCAGGATTGTGTTGCTCTTTTTTCCTTCCCACTGGCTTATTTAGTAAAATCAACTGCACCCATTAAGCTTGGCAATACGTGAGACAAGCGTTTAGCTCTGTCCATGGCTCTTGGAGCAAACTCTCGCCTGCATTTCCCAGCTTCCTTGCTGTCTGTCTGTCCACGCACAGTGGTGGCAAGCACCATTTCCAGGCCTGGCCCTCAAACACCTGCCCCGTGGAAAACACTGGATGTTCTTCCCCTGCAGTCTGAGGAGATGAGATGAGAAGTAGCCACACAAGAAGGAACCTGGGTCTTTGTCCACTTGGTAGAAGTTGTCAGGGACAATTTCAGACTTAAAGGTCTGAGAATCAAACAGGCTCTCTGGAAACCTCTGAAAACTTGTGTTCCTTTGCTGTGCAGCCTAACCCATGGCTCTATTACCATATTCCAACTATGGCTGTAAAACTGTCCAGTTTACCTTACCTCTTTTAAAGACTCCTTCTGCTTCTAGGACGGTTTCTGTTCTGTTGGAAGCCTTCTTTAACACCTGAGCCTTTACAGTGATCTGTAAGGGGCCATGTTTTAGAAGCTCCACACCAACTGTCAATTTTGCTCCAGGCCTGATGATCCCTGGGGCTGTCACCAGAAAGCGGGACCTGAAGAGTTACCAACAAAAGAAAATCAAAGTTTTTTTAATTATTAAATTTATTCATTTATTTTACAGCCCTACATCAATCCCCCCTCCCTCCTCTCTGCCCGCACACCTACACTGTCCCCGCTCCTGAGTGAGGTCTCCACACTACTCCACCACAGTAATTACAACTAAAATGGTGTCACTGCTGTTGAGTAGTGCCATGAAGTGCTACAGAAGACATAATTTCTAAAACAGTTCAAATGTACAGGAGCCAAAGAGGAAAAGAAAGCATGCAGAAGTCACTGCAGAATGCAAGTCTCCAAGTCTCTTCGGAGATGACTTCATCTCCACAGTATTAAGAAACACACACACACACACACATACACCTAGACTTAGGATCTTGCCTGCTCAAATCTTCATGCTTGCCTATCCACCCAGGGGGAGGGGGGGGGAATGATTGAAATCACCTTCTGAAAATAAATGCCAGCAACGAAATCTCCAGTTAGTAAGCATCTTAAGTACCCCCAAAGAGGCCGGGTGTGGTGATGCACACCTAGACTTCTAATGCCCTGACACTCAAGGGGCCAGTGAGGCAGAAGGGTCCCTAGGCCAGCCTGAGTTACAAATGAGCCCCCTGTAATAATAATAATAAAAGTAATTTTCTTTGCTGAAGAAAAAAAAATCTTTAGAAACGGAGTACTTTATACTATCTAATTCTTGTTCATCTTCCTGCAATCTCTGATTTGTCACTCTCCGGTCACTTCAGTCACACTGACAGTGTCACGGTAGAAACATTCTGTTTAGGAAAGAAAAAAAGTCTCTAGTGGGGAAAAAAGAGGCACGTTATTTAGGGCTAACAAGATGAGAGGCAAAAGGCAGAGCAACATGGACTGGAGCAAGGACGGGCGTTCTTGAGCAAGCTGTCGCAGCAGAAGGACTCTAAAGAAAGCCCCCTGGTGGGTCCCACAGGCCGCGCGTCCCCGTGTCCCCTGCGCCCGCGCCCTCCGGCCCGCGCTCCTACCCCCGGGCGGCCAGCGCGGTCGCGCACACGCAGAGAAGGTGGGCAGCGCTCAGGAGGCTCCGACAGCGCATCTCGGCGTCTGCCCGCGGGGTCTGCAGCCCACCGAGTGTGCGCCCTGCTGGGTGTGGCTGGCCCCCTCCTGCCTGCCTCTTCCCCCCCTTCGCACCAGGATTTAGCAAGCTGAAATGGGCGCGCCTAAAAGCAGAGAGATCTAAATTGAGACTTGATGGCTCCACCCATCCCGCTGCATCACAATGGCGCTTCTGGCTTCTCCCGGGCTAACGGCGTCTGTCCGGTGGCTGAGAAAAGCGGTCTCTGCACGCGGTGGCCACAACCTGGCCCCACCTTCCCTGCTCCCCGGGGAGAACAGTGGGCGCCCACTTCCTTGGCTACTGGGAACCAGGGGCTTGTTTACTCTAGCGTTCTACCAGCGATGCCCGGAGTGAATAAACAGGCCCATCCTTGTGAGCAGCAAATTCATAGCAGCTATGTGAAGTGGAAAAAAATCAATCGTTGTCCTCCAGACGATGAGTCAGAAGTTTAGGGAAATGGAAAACGCGATCGTGCCTGGAGACACACACACACACACACACACACACACACACACACACACACCACCACACCGGTGAGTACATATTGGTAGTTATTTAATGTATATGTATAATTATTTAAGAGAAAAACTCTTTTCTTAAGTTAAAAATTGAGGTATACTTTCCCCTCTAGAAAAATGTTACGGTTTCTCTAATTTAAAAGGAAGGCGCCTAGTCTTGAGTGTGACCCCAGAACCTCGTTTTTATTTATTTGTTTGTTTTTTTTTTTTTTAAGGCCTGGGGGGAAAAAAAATTTCTGGCACAAGCAAAAAGTTAGCTGATGCCACTTGAAACTCAGAAGCAGCTGAGCTGTTGGGGAAGATGCTTGTACCCTTGTAGCTATTGCTAAACACTTTTTCCACGGGAAGTCCTCACTCGACTCCTGAGTTTCTAACAGTTTGTCAGAACACAATTAGGGTCGGGAGAGAAAGGCTGCGCTGAGAATGAAGGTGTCCAGGGGCGCGGCTCCCCAGCAGTTACTGATCCCCAGCTCTTCTGAGCCCAGGTTTTCTGCTTCCCTGACACCCTATTTGGCACCATCCCTGTCTTCAGATGACTCAGGTTTCACCATGGCTACCCCATAAAAGCGGGCAAGTGCCAAAGACTACAAAAACAGGCACATTCAGTGCCTGACGACTTGAACTTTCTCATTCCAAAAAGGAATTTTAGATGGTTGGTGACAGTCGAGTTTGGGGCAAAATAAACCTAGAGAAACGTCGACCAGAGCTACACGTGGGCACAGCTGTGTGCTAAAAGCGGGGAAGTGGCACCTGGACAAAGTGAGGGTGTAGGAGCACAGGAATTGCTTTCCTCCCTTTCCTGTCCCCACCCTTGTTCACCCTACTGGATGTCTGAAGATGTCCCTTGTGTCCTGTTCTAAGGGCAGCCTATTGTTAGTGGTCATCTTCCTGGGCAAGCGGGACTTGGGTCTGACTGTGCCCTGCGGTGCAGCTGGTTCTTGGCACAGCTGTTACTGCTGGGCCGGTATCCTCACCTCCCTTGGACAGGGAGGAGGAGCAGGTTCAAGTGTGGACAATGAGCCAAGTTCTAAATCTGTATTTGTCATACTCCAACGTGTGTGAGAAAGACATCGAGATGTGGAAGTCCGCTCAGCAGGCCCTGGGTGGGAACTGCAATTTATTTCCCCATCGGCAGGGTGCCTAGGGGCACTCTGATGAGCAAAAGAAGTTGGAATAACTGAATTACTCGCCAAAATTTGAGCTCTAAGCCAACAGATGTTCAAATCATAGTACAGGAAAGCAAAGAACATAAACGTGACTCCTCCAAAGATAAAGTCCCTTGGGATGTAATGATTTGAATGAAAATGTCTCCCATAGTCTCAGGTACTTGAACAGCTCCCTAGGGAGGTGATCCAGACACTGGAGGAAGCACATCAATCATTAGGGCAGACTTCAAGAGTTCACAGCCTCAGGCCACTTCCAGTTCCCCCTCTGCTTCATGTTTGGGATTGAAGATGGGATTTCTCTGCTTCCTGCTCCTGCAATCACGCCTGCCACTTGTCTCCTCGCCTCCCCACCATGGTGAACCCTTATCTATCTGGAAGCATAAGCCAAAGTAAACTCGGGTCATGGTGTTTTATCACAGCAACAGAAAAGTAATTATTATGTGGTGTCACTGAGATGGCTCAGCAGGTATAAAGGCACTTGCTGCCAAGCCTGATGACCTGAGTTCAATTCACAGAGCTCGCTTGGTAGAAAAAGAGAACTGACTCCCTCAAGTTGTCCTCTGACCTCTCTCTACATTTGAAATGACCTAGGAGACACACCTCTGGGCATGTCTGTGCAGTGTTCTGGACAGGGTTACCTGAAAAGGGAAAACACCTGAATGTGTGTGGCTCCATCTCACTGATTGGGGTCCTAGAGGGAAGGAAAGACGACAAATGAGGAAGCCACTTGTGAGGATTAATATTCATCAGAATCACAATGGTAGCACACCTCTAGGTGTGTCTATTAGGGTGTTCCCAGAAATCTTTAGTTGAGAAGGGAAGTTCCAACTTAGATGTGGGCAACATCATCCCACGGGATGAGGTCTCATATATAAAGGAGAAATCAGCTGAGGCTGAGCAATGTAACCAGCTGCCTCATCCTCCTCCCTTAAATATTCCCCACTACTGGGCATTAGTGACGCACGCCTTTAATCCAGCACTCCGGAGTTAGAGGCAAGCGGATCTCTGTGAGTTCAAGGCCAGCCTGGTCTCCAGAGCGAGTGCCAGGATAGGCTCCAAAGCTACACAGAGAAACCCTGTCTCGAAAAACAAACAAACAAAAAAAATATTCCCCACTAAGAGGGTCTTTATCCCTTCTTAAACTACGGGATAAAATAAGTTCTTCCCCCATGGAGTTGTTTTTGTCAACTGTTTTATCTCAGCAATAAGACAAGTAACTTATCTAACCACTTGACCAGCATTCAACTCTCCCTGCATTCTGTGGATGCAAAGAGAACCACAGACAAAGCCACTCTTATCACATGCTTGCCCCACCATGATGAACTTAGTAAAAAGCAGGTACAGTGACACATGCCAAGGTCTGAAACTCAAAGCAATCCCATTAAATCTGGAATGAGGGGCTGGAGACAGTGTGGTGGTTAATAGCACTTGCAGAGGACCTGGGATTGACTCCAGCTCACAGTTGTCCATAATTCTAGTTCCAGCTGATCCAATGCCTCTTCTGACCTCCTTAGACACAAGTCAAGCAGATGTTCACATCATAGAGAGGAAGTAACCTGGCGTAACTATAGGAAACAAGGGAAACGTGTGGGTAGGTAGGAACACTAGAGAGGGGACTAGTACAATGGTAAGGCAGTGATGAGAGACAGCATCTTTCTACACAGTCCAAGCTGCCTTCAGCCTGACCATTCTTCCTCCTCAGCCCCCAGATTGTAGGGACAGAAACCATGGCTTTAAGCAAACTTTTAAAAATAACTGGTCTGGCCGGGCAGTGGTGGTGCATGCCTTTAATCAAAGCACTTGGGAAGCAGAGGCAGTCAGATCTCTGTGAGTTCAAGGTTAGCGTGGTCTACAGAGCGAGTTCCAGAACAGGCTCCAAAGATGCAGAGAAGCTTTGTCTCAGAAAACCAAACAATAAAAAAATAAGTAAATAACTGGTTTGCCTGGTCTCTGCTTCCTGAGTGCTGGAATTAAAGGTGTGCACCACCAATGCATGCCATTAAATGATTTTTAATTGTCTCAGGTATGATGGTTAATTTTAAGGGGTTTTTGCCTTTCATAAATGTATAATGAAAACAACTCTAGGCTTATTGGCTATTAAAAATTAAAATAGCAAATTATTGTGGAAGATATGGAGAAAATCAGGCTATTATATGTATCACTAGTGGGATAGGGCTGCTGTGTGAAGCTGTCAGCACACCTGAGATCCCACTTCTGAATTTATGCCCAGAGAAACTGAAGAAGGCACAGACTCACACAGATACTTGCACACTCATGTTCTCAACAATATTGTTCACAGGAGTCAAAAGATAGAAGAGCCCAAGGATCTATGAATGGATAAATAAAATATATCAAACACAATGGAATATCACGTAGCTTTCAAAAGGAGGGAAATTCTGGCACATACTACAACATGGGCATTTCTCTCTATTAAATAACAAGTCAGAGAGTGTCAATACTATAATCTTCCAAGTACATGAGCTTCCTAGAGTCAACGTCACAGAAAGTAGAATGGTGGTTGACCTGGACTATGGAGAGAAGGAATTGAGAGCTACTGTTTAATGGACAGGGAAGATGAAAGAGTGTTGGCATTGGATGGCCATAGGTTGTCTGCAAAATGACATGAACATGCTTAAAATGCTATTTATATTTAGTAGCCATTGCCGAAATAGAAAATAAGTGCATGCACAGCACAGCACAGAGTAAGTGGGGAAGAGAGAGGACTATACAGCCCTGTGTTGGTGTCTGAAACTGGCTATAGGCACCAGGGGATTCACTGCATTCTCTTTCCTATACTTTTTAATTTTTCAATAATGATTCTTGTACTAAAGCAAAATGAATATAAGGATATAAGAAATTCCAAGTGATGAATACTCAACAACAAAAATGTTACAGCAGAGGTCAAGACTATAGCCCAAATGGCCATACTTTGATCAAAATTAAGGCCTCAACAAAGAGAGGACAAAGTGGTAAAAAAAAAATCAAACCATCTAGAAATGCCAAGGAAGAAACAGCTGAGTTTCAGACAGCTCCTTCCAGGAATAAAGCACTGAAGAAGGGACTGATGAGTTTTGTTGAGTTTTCGAAGTATCTCATAGAATTGCCTGTCTTTAGGCTCTGTGCAGATGTAATTCCATTTTGAAAAACAAAACAAAACAAAACAAGACAAAAACGCTAATTTAATTTGTAATGTGTATTTGTCAAAAGGAACAGAGCCAAGACTCTGTCAACATTTTAAAAACTAGGCCATCCAAACGTCAGAATTGTCATATCGACCTGAAATAGTAGAAACTATTTAGAGGTAGAAAGAAAATTTTTGAGAGGAAGAGAGAGAAGAAGGTAGTAGGGGGAGAATATGATATACGTATATGAAAATGTAATAATGAGATCTATTATTTCATTTGCTTCCTTTTTAAAAAAAAAAAAAAAGTGTGTCCATGCTATGGAATGTGTTTGTGGAGGTCAGAGGGTAACTTTCAGGAGTCTGTTCTCCCCTCCCACAATGTGGGTCCCAGGGATTGAACTCAGGTCACCAAGATCCATGAGACATCTCACTGCCCCTCTCACTAGGGGGATGAGATAGGGTCTCTCTATGTATTCTATGTAGTCCTAGCTGTCTTAGAGCTCATTGTGTAGAACAGGCAGACCTTGAACTCATAGAGATCTGCCTGCCTCTGCTCCCTAGTTCTGGGGTTGCCAGTTCAGG